AATAGTTAGAATGAACTACAACAACCAACCCCAAAATTGAACAAATAGCTTTAATTAAATTCTCAAACCAAAACAAAACTGTTAAATACGTGATATAAACAAATTTTTACTACGTTAAGAAATAAATAAATAAATAAAAAATAAAAATAAAAAAATAAAAACGAGCAATATAATTTGACCCAAATAAATAAACAAAGCGACTTCCGGTAAAAATAACCGCCATAATAGAATACCCACAATGCACCACTAACCCGTATATATATAAATAGCCGAGAAAAATAACAGCATATGTGGCCTGACGATTGCATAGAGCATGAAACAGACTGTCGCCTCTAAGTGTTGACTTCTATATTCACTTTTATATTTACACACGGTCTATCTCTGATATTGAGCACTTTATCCCATAAATATAGCACACCTTAAGACTATATTTCTTTATATATATATATATATATATATATATATATATCTAAGATCATCTTCAGGGGCTGCATATCGATGGAAGTGTTATGCGTTATCACCGAAAATGCCCAAAAAATTTTGCTGCGATGCAAGGGAGGTAATTCACATGATTTTTCTTTTAAATATTTTTTTAATTGTAGTATTTGATTTTAGTATATTTTTTGTAACACTTTGCTGCTATAAACATTTAAGAACTTTGTTGCTATACTTGTAGCTGACTTTATTTTTGGTCGCAATTCTTTTATATAAAGGATTTGAAGAATTTTAAGTTTTTGATTTTTATTATGTTAATGAAGTACTGATGTATTTTCGACTAATAGCTGTCTTTCAAGGAAGTCAAAAAAGAGCGACAAATATTATGGAAGAAATGTTTTGGATTGCTGCGACCAATCTTTACCAAAGTGATGAAAAAGCCAAAGTGTGGAGAATGAAAATGAATGCTTAAGATCCGTAGCATACAAGCTCATCTGTGAAGCATGATGGAGGCAGTGCCTTAGCTTGATTTTGCATGGTTGCTTCTGGAACAGGCTCATTCATATTGAGTCATGATGTAACTCATGATGGTAGTAGAAGAATGAATTCAGAAGTCTAAAGAAACATTATGTCTACAAAGTTACAAAGAAATGCATCCAAACTAATTGGAAGCAAGTTTATCACACAGGACAATGACACATAACATATTGCCGACACAATAAAGAAGTTCATCGAGGGGAAAGTCAAGTCAATCACTGGACCTTAACTCAAAAGAGCATCCGAAGAGGAGACTAAAGAAAAAAAACACCCCCCGCCTTAAATAAAGAAGAACTGAAAGAGGCTGCGTTAAAAGAGTCAGGCAAAGCATCACAGAATTTACCTAAAAATGGTGGGATCTGATATAAAAGTGAGGGTGTTCTAAGCTGTTTGACACATCTAAATATAAAGACCAGGAAATAAAAGCTGAAATTATGAAATCTTTTTTGATATCTTATGTCTAATATCTACATCTCTTGTCTTTTGATCTTAAACACAAATATCTTCAATGAACAGCAAAGACAAAACACTTGGCCTTGCCGAACCAATACTTTTGGAGGGGACTAAATATATATTTATTTATTTTATGAAATGGATTAAATCCGACATATTTTAATTTATTTATCTTAACCCTTTGATTCCTGCGTTCCTGAACAATTTTAACCCATTCTGTCTGAGCTCCAGAGTCAAAATTCGAAAATAACTGGTATGTAACGTTTCACGGTAGATATAAAAATAGTTACCAGTGTTTGCTCACCGTTCAACCGGTGGCTGGGCATTGTGTCTTTCTTCTCTACCACCGTTCAACCGGTGGCTGGGCATTGTGTCTTTCTTCTCTACCACCGTTCAACCGGTGGCTGGGCATTGTGTCTTTCTTCTCTACCACCGTTCAACCGGTTGCTGGACATTGTCTTTCTTCTCCACCACCGTTCAGCCGGTGGCTGGACATTGTGTCTTTCTTCTCTACCACCGTTCAACCGGTGGCTGGGCATTGTGTCTTTCTTCTCTACCACCGTTCAACCGGTGGCTGGGCATTGTGTCTTTCTTCTCTACCACCGGTAAAGCGGTGGTCAGGGTTCAAAGGTTTAAACGTTATTTTAGATGGATACTTATATTCGAGAAAATGCTCTGTTAATTTATGAAACAGTATTTTTAATTAATTACATTTACCGGCCTGAATATTAGAGAAATCTTGTCAAAAACATGCGTTCTCCGGCAAGATTCGAACCCGCATTCCCAAATGAGGGAACTATCATTAGATCTGAAGTGCTTAACCGATTGGGCCACGTAGGGTATCCGGTTATTTATAGACCGAAATAGATTTCACATTCTCTGCCAATTTTCGAAATATTCATATCTTCTTGTTTTGTTCCCTAACGTAAACAAAAACATTTTTATTTTATGAAATGAATTAAATCCGTCATATTTTAATTTCTTTTGTTCATTTGGGGCTGTAAATGTAATTAAATAAAAATACTATTCAATACATAAGCTTAATGTTCGGTCATATCAGTTGCAGATATTATCAGCATTTTATTCTATAATTTCGACGCTCTCTCTTTCTCTCACTTTCTCTCTCTCTCTCTCTCTCACTCACTCTTTCTCTCTTTTGGGCTCTTTCATCATTCATCACCTCTCTCTTTCTCTCTCTCTCTCTCTCTCTCTCTCTCTCTCTTTCTCTTTCTCTCTCTCACTCTTTCTCTCTTTTGAGCTCTTTCATCATCCATCACCTCTCTCTTTCTCTCTCTCCTCTCTCTCTCTCTCTCTCTCTCTCTCTCTCTCTCTCTCTGACTTTTTTCACATTCTCTGTTTATATTTGTTTATGAATATCTATTACAGAGGGTGCTGAAAATTGTACGTCCAAAGACCATTTCTAATATGACTAAATGACACCAAAAATTAAGGTTTCTTGTTCGAGCCTAGTACTTTTCAGCACTTTTCCATGTGCTTGTGCAAGTTTATATGTGGCTGTATGTGTGGGTACCGGGTTGTAGGTGGGATGCAGTCCATGCTCACAAGAGAATAATTTAAAACCACCTGTCATGAATGGCTATAATGGAGACAAGATAAACTGAAGAGATCTGTATACATGCGCCAACCGTAGAGCAGAACACACCGAGCGGACATTCTTTCCCGGCCATTTTTTTGTACTCCCCCTCTATTTTCTTATGCTCTCGCTCCCTCTTGCTAAATTTCACCGTCACTCACTCCACATCTTCCTCACCTCTCTCTCTTTCATTTATTCTTCTTCTCTCCTTCTTTCACTCTTTCTCTCTCTCTCTCACTCATTCACTCTCTCTCTCTCTCTCTCTCTCTCTCTCTCTCTCTCTCTCTTCATCCACAAGAATGTAGGCTCTTCTGCGTGAAATTAATTGATTGTCACTGGACATATCTGAAATCCATTTGCAAAGTTTTAATGATGGCGTCAAAGCAATGTCGGAGTGAAGACTTTTTTAAAGTTAAATAATTTTATTTTTTGCTATCATAATCATCATCATCCTTATCTTCATCATCATCATTATCATCATCATCAGCTATTTTATTTAAAATATTTTAAAAAATATAAAATAGTTTCTATATATTTGTCCTAAATGCTGTTTTATGCAATTATTCGCTTTCTATTGTTGGATACGTTTTCTTGTTTTTCACTGAATTTACTCACAAATTCTAGTTTAATGAGGTAACAGAAAATGTTCTTATAGACCAGTGGTTATCTGAGTACTGGTTTGCATTCTCCCATATTTTCAATTGTTCTGCAATCATTTTTCACCGTTACTGAAATGCATCACGTTCAAGAAACACTTCTATGTAGACCTCATCTTTTGTCATACATGAATTTATATCGCTACAGATGCACACATGCCAATAAAAATAATTCTTTAATCATTATTGGTAATGTATTCAGCAGCCAATAACATGGCAGGTAGTTATCAAGATAAAGACGAAGCTTAGATATCCATCCACCGTACGAGGAAGTACAAATCTTGCTACAAAGTTCGATGAAGATTGACTGATGATCCGGCCAAACAGGATAAAGTTATTGAATTAATGAGTTTACTTTGAGAATTTTGATTTTGAATTTGAACTCGTTTAAGTGTTTTTGTCTTTATGTACCATTCCTTAAATGGACTCATTGACAGAAACGCACACTTACGCATGTACACACACACGCGCACACACACGCACATTAACTACGTCTGCATTAGTGATAAAGTAATTATTTGCAACTTTCAGGAGGCGAGTAAAATTCTAAATCCTTGTATGCTATCTTTAAGGCAACGGTTCTAGCGAGCCTTTTTATTTGCTGAGTTTCTTTGATGTTTTTCATCATCTATCTGAAAGGAGATACTAATCAGAAAAAGTTAGTAAAAATCTAGAGCCATTAAAAGACTTGTCCTCAAAGAATTGAGCAGCTATATATATATATATATATATATATATATATATATATATATATATATATATGTATGTGTGTATATATATGGTACCCACCAACTATTTTCGCAATTTCAAGCGTTGTTTAAATCTTATTCAGTTACTGTAAATATTATATTAAATAGCGTGACGACCCATTTTAAAGCACCGTGATTATTAATTAGACAATTTGGATCTCTGGAAATTGAATAGAAATAGCTAGTTTGTTTCTGTGCAAAACGAACCATCTTTCGTCCATAGTGGCTAAGGAGATGTTCTCCTACTATACCCATATTTGTGCACATGTCCGTGTGTGACTGCGCATCTGTGTGTGTATGCATGTGTTGCTTTTTTGTGTGTGTATGTGTGTGTGTATGTGTGTGTGTCAATATGAATAAAATAACTTTTCTGATTTAGGTACTGAAAAATTGGATATTTGAATATTCACAGACATCTACAGATATATGTGGTGATTGTTTAAGCGCAGCATAGATGTGGCATTAGGCCGAATGTATGGTAACCATTGCATCATGTCAATGAGATAGATAGATAGATAGATAGATAGATAGATAGATAGATTCACATCCCTGTAGATATTTGACAACGGCTACCCAATGTGTCTTTTTTCTTAAAAGTATTAAATTTAAATAGCCTATCAAAATCACTTCCATAATATGGGAGGAAAAAAATGAAAATGATCAGAAGAGAAATATCGACTAAACCAAATCAACCTAAAACCACATCGGCTTTTTTTTTTACAATTTCCTTCTTTTCTTCGCAGCTAAAAGACGAACGCCGTTGATTTGCTAATGAAGCAAAAGTACAACGAAAAAGAAACAAAGTGAAATGTTTGAAACCAATTCTACTCGTTGTTTTCGTAACTAAAAACTGTGCGGCCATTAAAAAACAAAACATTCAGTCGTTGTGTTAAAATCAGGTTGGCTTTTATTAATCTCTGTTGCGATTTCCTTTGCTTTGTGAATAAAATACGTTGGGCTGATCATGTTTTTTTTTTTTTTTTTTTTTTGTTTTTTTTAATCTTCTATTGATATCGAATCATTTCTTTTTAATGAAAAGATTTGTCTACTTAATTTCTTGAGCCAACATTTCTCATTACGTGTCCAACGCATTCACAAGATTTGCTTTTTTGGTTGATTTACGACTAAAGTTCTTACCGTCAAAGACAGAATAGCAAAACCATCGCATGAACTATCATTATTCATTTGTATCGTTTTTAGAAGAATCTTTCCGCCTCATATACAAAATACAAAGGATTTTCTATTATCTTTCCAGTATAGAATGGCTATGAAAGTCATAATTCTTTCAAAATTTATGCTTCTTGATGCATTTAGCATGCGTGCCATATTGTGACTTTTATAAGTGGTAACCGAGACGAAAGTAGTTACCCCCTTATAATATTATATGGCTTCAACCGTGCATAAAAATAAAAGTACACCTTATACAAAAGTGTCATATATATATGTATAAATACATGAAACGTGGGCATTCCATACCAATTCTAAAGATTCATCGTGGGCATTTTATACCAATTCTAAAGATTCATCATGGGCATTCCATACCAATTCTAAAAATTCATCATGGGCATTCCATACCAATTCTAAAGATTCATCATTATATACTACACGAAAGCCGAGAGTCAAATACAAGCAGCACATTTCTGTCTGGCCGGATTTATTGTGGGATATACCTTTGAATATAGTGATGCGCTTTATACATAGGTATGCCCGATACTTTTTATAAATATATCAAATATCTTTACGTATTTTATACATGTGTACATATATAAGGCTTTGTATTAATAGAAAGCTGAGGGTGAGCAAACGTGGTCTCTAGATATTTGAGGTGAAACGCTTATTTAGGAAATTAGCGTTGAATACAGTGGTGCGCGTTATACAAAGATTCTTGGATGAATATTTCAAACATTCTTTCACATTAGATACCAATTCTAATCAGCCGATAAGCTATAACGGCGGAGGACAAGAATATAGAATATTTATATCGCCGAATATGTACGCGCATTATACAAAGATACACTTTGTATTTGTGAAAAGAAATCCTGTTTTATTTGTAAGAAAAAAATATCACGCTTTCTTGCAATCATCCCTCTCTGTGGAATAGTACACCCACGCTGCGAGGCGAGGATAGAAATCGCTGGTGTCTCTGACGATGTAGTTTCCGCTGGGATAATATCTTTTGGGCGAGAGCTACGCTTTATAAAAGAAAGGTTCAGTTTCTACAAATATATATATATATATTCCTTCGGCATTTGATATCAATTCTTATCAACTGGGGTCCTATACTATGACAACGACTATGGGAAACCACGGAAAAATCCTTGCATATCAAACGGTATACTTTTAATAAGAGAAGTAGCTTGTATATAAAGTTGCTTCTCATAAAAAAGTTGCACCTTGTACAACTATAAGTAAATCAAATTTTTATTTTTATTTCTACGGGTCCGATACCTTGTCTTATTACACCATTGAATGGGTGACCTGAAAAGATGTTGTTTTTTTCCGTTTCAGATCGGATACTTTAGGGAAGTGGTATTAATTATTTGCCTGCGCCTTGAATAATAATAGGCAGCAACAGAATCTCCTGCGGGGATAGTTTCATTTAAGTAGCGCCTTATAGATGTATAAAGATATAAATTTTTCTGATGTGCTGGATATCGACTGTAGTTATTTGCCACACTTCACGACTGTTAATTCCCCTCTCCAAGTTCTCCACTGTGCCATGTCTCCTCAAGGACATATGGCACAGTGGATAAAGCCGTTACTGAGATCCAGTGACAGAACCCAAATAGTGTGAGTTCAATACCCGGTTAAGGCAGTGGAGAACTTGGATAGGGGAATTAACAGGAGATAACTGATAACTAACATCCATTAAACATGGCACGTGGAACAAGAACAGTCTACCCCAGTGTGCGAAATAAAGGGTTAAGTTCAACATTCCAACCACCTGAAGAAGCCCGGAGCGTACAACGGCTAAAATGTTGCGATAAATTTGACAACAAAGATGAAGACAATAGTCTGAATAATGTAAATAGTGTCAATGTTAATTATCGCAATTTTTATTACCTCGAAACCTATTGACAGTATGTTTGCTGCACAAGAATTGCATTTATCTTCGGCAACGAAATCCCTGCTTCTGGTTTCCGAGAATTACTTATGACTTTACGCCTTGTACTTAGCTTTGTAGTCGTAAAATCTCCGGTGCCTCCATGTTGTCAAACTAAGAAAACATCGAAGCGTGACTCTAAGCAAATTATTGAAGTGAAATCCCTGGCTTCTCCCAATAACAAAGAAATGAGATTGATTTTTTTTTCCACCGGAAAAAAACAAACACGATAAGTGATAGAACCATTTTTCTTTTTTTTTTAGATCGACCAACAATTTTCTTCATGCAATCTGGAGAATTCTAATTAGTTTTTTCAAAAAACATTTTTCCATGATTCCATGAAGAATATTCCCGAAGATAGTTTCTCGTTTTACAAGAAAATATAAAAAATTGAATCATTGGAATAATTTGCTGTGGATCTATTTTTGATACAAAAGATTTTATTATGAAGCAGAAATATAAAGATTATTGAAAGCCAGTGACATCGAGGAATAAAACAAGAAATAAATATAAATAATGAAGCAGAAATCTCTCTCTCTCTCTATATATATATATATATATATATATATATATAGAGAGAGAGAGAGAGAGAGAGTGGGGCAGGGAGAGAGATGTATTGGAAATATACTTAATGACTAAATTAAGTGTGTGTGTAAATTCATACCTGCAAATACATATATATATATATATATATATATGTGTGTGTGTGTGTATGTATATACAAGTGAGATGAGAAAGAATAGAGTACAATTCCAACGTTCATAACATTTAATTTAAAAGAGGGCTGAATACAATTTAGAGCAATATTATT